TCGAGATACAGCATGGTAAGCAGGGTCTTCTGTAGTGTCAACCATAAAAAGAAATTCCAGGGGACCACCATATAGAGATGTAATCTGCAATCATAAACCGAAACATGATGAGCTTGTATGGGAAAGCTTAAAAAGTTAAGGTCATATTCAACTATTAATTGTAACCACACATTACACTAGACCCACAATTAGTACCCACTTTTCCATCACCCGTTTCGTGGAACCTACCACTCCTTTTTCCAGAATCAGCTTTTCAGCTCTCCTAAACAAGCACTAAGTATTTCTTCTTTAACCTCAATCGTTAATCTGGTTATGAGTACTAGTAGAGTCGAGCAATCTCCAGAATAAAAAGAAGAGTATTATAAGAATTACACTCGTTTGTAAATTTGAAGAAGCTCTGGTTGCAAGAGAAAATAAACATGTAATCAGTAGAATTCTACATTTTTTTTTGAAAGGTAATTAATAATTTTATTAATCAATGCATAATACACAGGAAGTGTATTATCAGTTTAAGTCAGAAAGTAACAACATGAAATTAGGCAGCATATTTATATGCCTAAGAGCCGCAACATTAAATCAAGTATACAATGTCAAATAAAACAATTCCCTAATGTGCTCCGTTGTCCGTGATTGGTCTTCAAAACAGTAACTGTTTCTTTCTCTCCACACACCAGACGATGCAACCCGAAATAAGGTCCCAAACAAGTTTTCTATCCTTATCTTGAAACTTTCTCCTCTACGCCTTTAACATGTCCTCCATATACCTCGACAACACCCAATCCATGTGTTGCGACGCCAAAATATCGTTCCACGGTAAACGAGCAATATCACAATGAATGAAAAAGTGGTCAATCGTCTCCTCATCCCTCTTACACATATAACACCACTCCGTAACAAAGAAGCCCCTTGTACGAAAGTTATCCGCCGTTAACACATGTCCTTTGACCACCGTCCATAGTAAAAATGCTACTCGTAGGGGCAGTTTACATTTTCAAACCATCTTCAAGGGGAATGAACTCTCTACAAGTCCCAATAAAGATATAAAATAAGTGCGAACTGAAAAAATATTATCACGTGTCAACTTCCACCTACAACAATCACCCTCTCCTGCCCTGAAATGTATCTCGTACAAAGATGTCAAAAACAACGCATAATCATCCAATTCTCAATCCTGCAAACCCCGGCCAAAAGCAATATTCCAACTGAAACCCCCATTGTAAATATTTAAGATACCATTCACCATGGTAGATGGTACCAATGCAATACGATACAAAGAAGGAAATCCCAATTTAAGCGGTTGATATCCACACCAGCAATCATCTCAAAAACTGATGGTATTACCGTTCCCCACAACATAAGTCAATCTATCCAAAAGTCGCTCCACCCTCGCCGAATATATCGCCACAAACTCACCCCATAAGAACCACGTCTCTCACCGAGCACCATCCCCCTCCATAACACCATATTTTGCCCATATAATCTCTCTCCAAAAACTCTCCCTCTCTACTCCAAATCGCCATAACCACTTGCCCAACAAGGCCTTATTAAACAGAACTAGACTACTCATTCTGAGACCACCGAATCTAATAGGAGAACAAACTGCACGCCAGTTAACCAAATGTAATTTCCTCTCCTCCCCTAAACTTTCCCAAAGAAACTCCCTTGGATCTTCTCTAATCTTTTTGCCACTGCAACAGGAATAGAAAACAATGGACTTTATGAGAGTAAAACGGCCTCCCTTTGAGAGGTACATACGCTTCCAACCCACTAGCCTTCTCTCCTCCCTTTCCACAATACTATTCCAAATCTGTATGCTTTTAAACCGTGCTCTTAAAGGAAGCCCAAGATATGTCATAGGCAATCGCCCCACCCTGCAGTCCAAAATCGCAGCCAACTCCTCCACGTTATCGACCTCTCCCACTGTGATAGCCACAGATTTTCCCAAATTTATTTTCAATCTAGATACGGCTTCAAAGCACAAGA